GTATTAATGGTTTTCAGAATAATAAATACAAATATAGGAGATATTTGAGAATATCTATATATAGATTTAATTGGTAGGGGTTTATTTTAGAGATAAGACAGTTCCCTGGCCTCAAAATATGACAATATTTTTAGTAATCTGAATTATAAGGTATTAACTCTATGATAATGTGTGATTTTTCCTTATGGAAATTCAAACTTTTTCATTATAAGATAATATCTTCCTAACCAGTTAATACGGTATATTCTTGCTTGCCTACTACCAACGTTCATCCAACTTGTGCTCTGCCTCAGGTACTGCTGCGACATTCTTCAGCAAGCCCGTTGGTCAATCACTCAAGTCTGGTGATTTCCGGTCTCACTAAAACATGGCTAACCTTGAGTTTTGCTGAAGGTCTCTTGTATATCTAAAAGAGAGCAATCATCTGACAGCTCAGAATACATTCAACGTGCAAATCAGACTTCTATGGTACAAGCTTTATTTTAGAATACAGGTTAAGAAACTGAACGTGCTCGTTATTCCAAATGTCAGATATACCTTGTCCCTAAGTCTAACGCCCTTTCCGTTCTCCAATTTGTGTATTTCGAGGTGTAATCTTGGAGGTTTAGTCTCACAGTTGAGTCTGCCTCATTCTGGTCTTGGTCTTTTGGCGCCGTGGGGATTTTGCCAGTCGCCACCAGCAGTTTGGTTTTGTTGGAAGAACGCAGGATTAAAATGTGGCTGCATGGGTTGGAAACCGTTTCCTCCTTGATTGTGTCAGTAACAAACGCAATATCTCTCTCGTGGGACTTAAAGTCACCCGGCAAGAACCTCGTTTAGCACGTACCTTGCATTGCCCCACCCATCTGTGCCATGTTTCCCATATTCATAGGCATTCCCATCCCTCCCATTCCAGCCATTGGCATCCCTCCCATAGGCATTCCGCCCATTATACCGTTTCCCATTCCTCCTCGGCCTCCTCTCATACCCCCAGGTCCACCCCGCATGCCACCACCCATCATTCCACCACGATTAAATCCTCCAAATTGATTTCCCATGGAATTGCCCTGAAACCCACCGCCCATTGGAGAATTAAAACCACCACCCATAGCTCCTCCTGCACCCGAGAAGTTGCGGTTGAAATTGCCTTGATTCATGTTATTGTTCATGCCTCCACGAGAAGAATTATAACCACCTCCACGACCACGGAAATTACCACCAAAGTTACTTGTGTTGTGATTACCCCTCTCACTGTTGTAGCCTCCTGGTCCCGAGCTCGATCGGTTACTTTGGCCTTCTTTGGTGGCGCGGGCTGGTGCATCTTTAGGTAAAGTACGGAACGGATTGACATTTGGGTTGTGGTATGTAACCGTCTGCTTCTTGACATATTGTTGACCTTCGCCAAAAGCATCAATCTTTCGTTTCGCTGCTGTTGCAGCTTGTTGGGATGTGAATTCCACGTATGCTTGGCTGTACTTGGAGTTAGCAGAAGTTCGGCATTGAGAGACTACAGTGTATCGTAGTATACCCCTTGCTTTTCCCGTTGACTTTGTGCTCGGAAAAGGTCATCTCCTTCAACTCATCTTCGACTTGAGCCTGATTGATCCAACCCCGGATATCATCGTCAGTATTCCACCAATGCAACTCCGATATGAGCAAGGCCGTGGTCGCTCCTTGGTCGATTGGTCGATCGTCGGAACCCTCCTTTCTTTTTACACCTTGTTGCTGGGGGGCCTGTTTTGGTATGTTGAGAAGGTCTTGTCCAGATTCGTCGGTACTTTTGATTTGTTGCTGTCCTTCCATGAGTTTCTCTTTCTCATTACTCACCTTGATATCTACATAATCGTCATCTTGCTCTTGCTCTTCGCTTTTACCATTAGCCTCGGCGACTGCGGCGACGGGTGCTTCAATGCCTTCAATCTTGACATCACCTTCGTCATCCTTTTTGAAGATTGCATCCTGTTCAGTGTTGGTATCTCCATAAATGTCAATGTCGAACTCGTCATCAGCCATAGCGTCTGAATGTACACGCGAGGTGTTTGGTTAAGAAATGAAGTTTTATATTTCTTATGAACAGTTTGAGCTGATGTTATGCCACAGGAAATTGAGTTCTGTGAGAAGATAGCAACAGGATCAGCGCGTGAAAACAGAAGAAGGGCCATTAGGTGGCAAAGCTCAACGCTTAAGTAGCATTGGAAGTAGAGTCTGAATAATGAATACGTACACTCCTAAAACCTGGAGGATATTGCTTCAATAAATGAGCTTAAAGTCCGAGAGCCTTCTTTGGCAACTACAGACACAATGAAGATAAAAGACGAAGCTCTGTGCTTGCAGTCTCTTGGAATTTCTGATGTAAAGAAGCCCAACTGATTGATAAACGAAGAGGCGAGGCAAGAGAAATGCGATCCAGCCTGAAATTAAAAAGCAGAAGTAAAGATGGCGATTGTCCAAATCCCTTGTTCATGAAAGCAGTAAAAGTGACCGAAGCCTTGCTGTAATATTCCGTCCCTCAAATGCTCTTTCAAATCAAAGTCAAGTTATTTATTTATTTATTTCTTTTGAATTTCGTGATTCGAGGTAGGTAAATCGAAGTAGGCGATGAAGATGAGATGGTTGATGGGTGATGGGTGGTGGATTGAATGCGACCAAATTCTCGACTGGTTGTGAAGCTTCGAGGTACTTGACAACTGTAGACTTGTGAGTTAAAAGGGTGGCACTTGTGTAAACCGGAGGTAAAATCGACTGCTGCTTGGTGAAGAAGATGAGAAGAGCTTATGTTGGAGATAATGAGAGGTGGAAGATAGGAGGGTCGAATTCGAAGATAAAGAGGTCGAAGATAGGTATTCAGAATGAAACGAAGAAGGATTGGTGATTAAAAAAAGTGCATGAAATTAATTGATGATGGATGGTAACGAGTGAGTGATGTCGATACGAACAAAGTAATTATTCTTTCTTTTGCTCTTTCTTCTCTTTCTTCTCTTCTTCCTTGTGTTCACGCCGCTGAGCCTTTTATTAATGCTTGTCTTGTTTGCTTGCTTGCCTTTGCCCAGTGCTGTTTAGGTAGGGTAGTAAGGCCTAGCCCCCAGCACAACACCAAAATACCAGAACGAAAGAAACGAAACTTAGGTAAGCGTAGATAGATATACTGCCTGAGGCATCAAAACTATTAAAGCCAATGTTGTGATATCGTGTTTTTGATATATTATGTAAGCACATGTCGAGAGAGAGAGGGGCTGTGATAAGGAACTCCCGAGGTATTGATTAGGTATTGATTAGATAACCTCCCCTCACCTACCTCAATCATCCCATCCACTGGCATGATATCATATCACTTATTATCTATCAATACAACAAATATTTCTATACTTCATACATACATACATACATACATACCCTACCTACCTACCTACCTACCTATACCTATATTCAATTATACTGATATACACAAAACAGTGATTATTTACTCATTGTTTGGTATTTCTTTGCCACCACATTGCTCCTCTGCCCTCCCTATACGAGTGCGATAATTTTACACAAAGAGGCATCAGTCAGAAGGATAGTCATAATTACGCTTGCAATCTACTGTTCAGAATGGCTTCCCGAAGAAACGTACCCGGAGCCTTTCCATTGGATAATTCCATGGCCGGGAATGCATCAGGAGAAGATGATGAAGTTATATCTGAAGACGAAGATGATGAGGATGAGGATGAAGATTTCGAGGAGGATATAGACGATGACGACGAGAACGAAGCTGGATTTGGTAGATCTCTGATTATTACCACTGTTTATTTTTTGAAAATGTCCAGGAACGTTTTGCTAATGCATCACCTCTACTTCAGAAGTGCAGCTTGAGATGGAAGATGATGAAAATGAAGGTGCCACCGCAGCCGATCACAGTGAGACCTACACATCCTTCACCTTGCTCCAAACCATCTGGCTTATACTTCGATTATCTTTAGCTCGGCGAACACAAAATCTTCTTCGAATGTTAGCCGCCCACCCGGATGTTCGGAATATAATACGTTTTTCCGCTGACATCGACGAGGACGAGTTAATCGGGTGGCCACGAAGACGGAGGAGAAGCCCACCAGATCCAAATAGGTTTCCAAAAGTGCCCAGTATTGCTGGGGCGGAATTGATGGCCTCGGGTGATTTTGGATCTAATTATGCTCAAAGTTCAGGCACAGATAATCAGGTCAAGGCCCGGAAACGTCTGGCCAGGAGAATATTAGATCGGGAAATAGCATCAGGTAACTTTGCGAATCAGAGGATAAATCGAAGAATCATAGCACAGGTCAGCGATAAAAGCACTGTTTTCAAAGAATTTATGGATGCTCACAAAAGTTTAGGAAATGTTACCATCCTCGAACGCCGATACCATAATCAATCATGATGAACCTGTATACTCGGGTCAATTTTCGGATGATGGTAACTTCTTCTTTGCCGTCACCAAGGATTTCAAAGTCCGCATGTATGATACATCAAATCCATACAAGTGGACCTACTACAAAACTGTCGTTTACCCCTTTGGACAATGTAAGCAAAATCTCCTTACTTTATCGCTAAATTTGGTTTCACTGAATGTCTGGGCGAGCTTCACTATACAGTATATAAAAGATTAACAGCTAGTAGGGACACTCACTGATGCTTCGCTAAGCCCCGACAACAAATACCTTGCCTACAGCTCCATAAGGAGCACCGTTTGTCTCGCTCCGACTGACCCAAATGATCTGGGAGATCCTTACAATCTGGATCTAGCCGATACAATGAATGGACGGAATCCTAACCTAGCAATTGGTGAGCGGCGAGGGTCGTTTGGTATCTGGTCAATTCGATTTTCTGGCGATGGACGTCAGCTTGTCGCTGGAACTACTGGTGGCTCTATTGTTGTATACGACATTGAGTCCCGCCGTACGCTTTTCAGGATTTTTGGTCATGAAGAAGATGTCAACGCAGTATGCTTCGCCGACAAATTATCGCCCCATATTCTTTATTCCGGATCAGATGATGCAACCATCAAGGTATGGGATACCAGGAGTATGGGTGACAGTCGAGAAGCCGGTGCATTCATTGGTCACATTGAAGGGCTGACGTATCTTGATAGCAAAGGAGACGGTCGTAAGTTCTCCACCCGCAAGTACCCGAAGTCAAGGCACTGAAATTTTTAGGTTATATACTCAGCAATGGCAAAGATCAGAGCATGAAGCTGTGGGACCTACGTATGGTCATGAGTTCAGCTAAATTCTCCCACATCAGGTCAAATGGACGTCGACCGGGAACAGGCTTTGATTATCGATGGGGAGCATACGACGAGGACGATTGGTACCACGATAAAAACGATAATTCTTTGGTCACATTTAGAGGTCATAAGGTAATGCGAACTTTGATAAGGTGCCATTTCTCTCCACCGGGAAGTACCAATTCAAGATATGTCTACTCTGGAAGTGAGGATGGTAAAGTTTACATATGGAACATGGATGCAACGCTCGCGGGTAAGGTCGATGTTCTCCAGGCAACGGAGGGCACAAGACCACCTCCTGAAAATCAATGGCATGGAGGATGGCACGATAATTTGGACGAAGTGGATTACTCGAGATGGGAAACTGTCGTTAGAGATGCTAGCTGGCACCCCACAGCTCCCATGATAGCTGGTAAGTTTCTCTTTCAACACCACCTATCTTTGGCTGATCAATTCCAGCATCTGCGTGGAACGGTCATGGTACTGAGCAGGGCACCGTCACTACTCATTCTTGGAATGAGGGTGCTGAAGATGATGAGGCCGAGCCTAAAATGGGATTGAGGGTGAACGCGAAATTAGAACATGATCCTCGCCTTTACGAAAGTCGTACGAGAAGTTCCGCTAGACTTCGACATGCCGGAGGACTTTTGACGGACCCTGAGGATAGTGATAATTATGATGATGAATAGGGAACATTCTTGGGGCGGGGTCGAGAAACCATAGCGGTAGCTGGTAGGAATTGTTTGGGCATCGGCGTATTATTTTCTCTGGGGTATTTTCCTAGTCAATGGCATCTGATTGTGAAAATGCTTCATCTCACAATTAATAATACAAGAAAGCTACAGTACTAGCACTGTAACAGTGGGCGGTCCATCGTGCACACAATTATTGTTGTAAGGTTGTAAAGCTTGATGAGATCAATCTACCAAAGCTATGGATAGTTTAGCCTGCGTCGACTACGCTTACTGTATGTGTCTTCCGGTGCCACAGTTGTTAAATGACCTAATTATATAGCGAAAAGAGAAATTATAATCTAATACTGACGAGACAACTCGCTTATTATGGCAAGTTGGCAATATGAAAAATGAAGAATCGTAAGACAAGTCCTGCTTCCCGATAGACAATATAGTAGTACTATAGCAGTCGTAGAAATATGGGGTGGGGTAGATGAGAGAGTGCAACGAGGAAATTGTCGGGCAAGCCGCTGAAGATTTTGTAACTTAATCTCCTCGACGGAACAGAAATCAACCCTGATGGTAGGGCGTTGAAATACTCTCTATGGTAGATCACAGGGTCCATGGATGTTCAAGTAATCGAGAAATGTCCATCTCGCCTATATTACCCGGGAACGGGGGGGCAGCAATACTCTCTGTCCAATCAAAAGACTGCGAGAACGGTAGACTGTTCGTAGGTTCCACAATATGCTGCTTAGCTATTAATGAAAGATTATATTTGGGAGGTTTTGGGGTGAGATGGTAACTGTACCTTCGATAGCTCATGATTCAAACTGAATGTGACTGAATTGGTTGTAGAGTGATTAGATGTATTTAAGTAGTAGTCATCAAGATGAGCAGGCTTGCTCTGAAACGCTGCCCGAGCCGCATCATCCTCCCCGGATCGAAACTTTTCGGGATGTTTGTTGCGAAAACGATCTCTAAGATCAGTAGGCTGTCGGCTTTGAAGGTTGAATTGAGGATCTCTCTGTATCTTTGACCAAGCAGGCCCATAAAGAGAGTAGCCTTGGGTGATTTCATGATCGTCCTGCTCAGAAAAAGGGCGTCTTTCTCTCCGTTTTGACTGTTTGAAAGGCCCTTGAATTCCCAGCTGTTGAAGATCTGTAAGTCTCTTCCGATGGCTTCGAGGCTTTCGCCCGGCATCTAATAACCGAGAAGAGGCGATGCTTGATACAGTACCATTTGCCTTTTGATCACTTCCAAGTATAGAATTCCCAGATGAAGAGCCCAAAGTTATCTTGCCTGTTGTTAGTTGCTCCCCTACAACATTCGCCTTGGACCCGATATTGTGGCTGCTTGAATTGCGATTGTCCCTTCTCAGCTCATCTGGACAACAAGTCCTAAAACGATCCTTCAAATCTACTCCTGATCTGTTATTAAATGTGAAATTGGGATCTTCCAAGATGTCTGTCCATTTCCCCACGCCATATTTATGCACACCAAGTAGCAGATTATCCGTCTCTTCTTCGGACCACTTGTTCCTCGTCTTGACATCCTTTCTCTTCTTCTTCTTCTTCGTATCTTTCTTCTGGTCAAAACATCCCTCGGTCATCGATATGACTGCACCGTCGGATTCAAAGTCCTCTTTTGTTTCTGTAGCTTTGAGAGCCACAGCATTCAAGCTATTTCTCCCGTGGCTGTCGTGGAATGAACTCGATGCAATGGGAGGAAATAAGGCAGCTTGCGGCGGTGGTTCATGCAAGCCAATAATGATAGGTGGCACTACTTGTTTATTCGATCTTTGCTTTTTGGGAGGCTTAGGCAATTGAACGAAATCATTATTCCCATTGTCTCTACGTTGTTGCTTTTTGGGATGTAGCGGTCTTGCGTTGCCAGTGTTGTCATCTAAGATATTTCGTAAAGATTGTGGAGGGGTATCACCCAAACTACGCTCAATTGCGCCAGTATCATTTCCAATGCCCGCCTTTCCTACCCTCGAAACCTCTTCTCCATCTCGATACTTGGTTTCATCATCGTCGAATGGAGCGATGGATGACGAACGCTGTGATACTTGTGAAGATGATTCTCTGGATCGCGTACCAGTATTGGGCTCCAAAAGAAGTGAGCGGCGAGAAGCCGGTAAAATGTTCCGATCGTGCAATGGAGGAAATTCCAATAAGGGTGGGTTTGTGAGGGATTCAATTGCATCGCTGTTAAGAAAGGACATTAAACGGAGCTCAAAGGCTGTACGTATTATTATGCCGTCCATTTATTAGGAAGACGATGTGATTTCGCCTGTTTCCTTGAGAATATCGTATGTAGCAAAGACAGAAAATATGGTGAAGAAGAAAGAAGGAAAGAAAGGAAGTAGTAGATGATAATATACTTGTAGTCTCGATAACTTCTAAATTCGAGTGATGCGCCCACCAATCAGTAATAATCAATATACATTCTATATACTACTACTAGTATTATCAAATTAATGTTTTATAATTCTAATCTACTCTATTTACTATAATAAGAAATGTTTAATAAAAGTCTTCATTATCTATATACAAATAGTTAAAGAAATTAAATAAGAAGATAAATAAATAAATATTATTATTTTAAAATACTTTATTTATTTATTATAGAATATACTATTTATATATTATTTCAATTAGTTTTAAAAGAAATATAAGTATACTTAGCGAAATAAGTAATAGTATATAGACTAAAATCAAAATAAGTCTTACTAGCTTAGTTTCTAATAGAATTCTCTATAATTTTATATAATTAATAAACTATTAATTGAAATATATATCTCTTTAAATGCTGAAAACCGCCGCCATCGCTTAACAGGGATCTTATCGACCAATCAGATCATTAGGATTGCTGAAATCTAACGAAAACTTTATCTTTAATCTATAATATAAAATTCAATTATAATTATTCATATATTCAAAATTATACAAAATCAATCTATAGTAGTTTATTATTCTATGAAAACTTTTGTAAAGTTTTGAATCTAAATTGAATCTAGAATCAAGTTTTTAAAAAGAAGTCTATAAAAAGCAGTTTTGATATTCAAACCCCGATTCTGATCAATCAGGCCTCTTTATTCAAGGTATTTCTATATAGTCTACTATAACGACGGTTTTAAGCATTTAAAGAGATAGAGAATTATAGAGATATAAAAAAAGATTTAAAAAAGTTGTAATCAATTTAACTTATAGAATTTCGATATTTATTAAGATTTTGATACTTATTTTCAAATTATTATATTCTAATTATAAATGAATTTTATATTATAAAAATTTAAAAAATAATAAAATAAATGCTTATTAATTAGTTAATAGATTTATTTCTTAGAATATCCTAATTAGTTATGTAAATAGTAATAATTAAATTAAAATATTAGTGAAATTAAATAATCCTTAAATAGTAGATTTACTTTTTTCGATAATTTAAACGAGTTTTTTCTCTCGAAAATTCGATATTTTAGTTGATATTCTTGATTTATTTAATAATATCTAGATAACTACTTAAGATATTCTACTCGAGTAGAAAATAATTAATTATTTGAATATTGAATTATTCTTCTATTATTTATTAAAGTTTTATTATATAAAAAGACAAATCTCGAGATATCGAAGAATATCGATAT